CTGCATCAAGAAGCTTTGAGGATGAGTCAGGCATGGCTGCCCGAGAGGACGACGACATAGCTGCTTTGTGTTGTCTTTTGCACGTCAAGGCAAGGCCCTTAGTAATCTGCCTTAGTCTAGGCCTGGATGAAGAAGAGAGAGGAGGGCGGCCATGGCTGTGGTGGCCCTCTTGTTGTGCTGGCAGTAGAAGAGATATTCGGACACTGGTTCTGGTTCAGCCATTCATCATTATTATTATTATTCATTGTTTGAAAGAGAGAGGAGATGAGGAGTCAGTTGCAGATCCATTCTTGCCAGTTGAGGTGACCACCAATGCTAGCCAGTACGGAATAGGGCTGCATTACAGAAGGACGGCAGCAAAGGCTGTACACCAGAAGATTTCATGTCCAGGATTACCATCAGAGAAAGTAGCAGATTCTAAATCTTGCGAGGATATGGGTCCTCGGCAGGCCTAAGGGGCCCCCTTGCAGCACATGTTCCCGCCCTAAGTGAAGGCGGGCCTAACAAATCACGAGAGGCCCTTGGCTGTCAATTTCGCATTTGGGGTCCAGGCAGTTTCGTCGCGCCAGTTGGTTGAAGAGAAACACAGGCCGAGCAGCGTGCAAATTCCCAGGCCTTCTAGGCCTTTCCGAAAGCACAGGCCCTGGGCAAGATTCGCAGCCTCATACACAGACAGTTGGGAGGCCCAACCGAATGAGGCCCAGTAGCTGCACCAGAGGCGCAGCATCCTGGGGCCTACCGGAAGCTTCTGGGCCCAGGCCAGTCCAGCCAGGCTGCCGAATGAGGCAGGCTCTTTCCATATAGGAAAGAGCTCGCTGCCTGGCCAGGCATTCGGGCACTCGCATGCTGGCGGCAGCACTGCTGGAGCTGGAGCTCGTGGGCTGGTGCTAGTGCTGAGTGGCGAGGTGCAGGCACGTGCGGTCGTGCAGGGAGCAGGGCGCTGCTGAGGGCAACGCCATAGCCCAGCCTCCATAGCTGGCAGGGCTTGGATGTACAGTGAGGCGCAGGGGTGGCCTTCGGGTGTACAACAAAGGAAGACGTGGGAGAGAGTCAAGGGAGAGAGAGAAGGATGATGATGATGATGAGTGAGGGCACATACCTGGTATTGGCGATGGTTCTGCATGGGCGACATCTTCAAGTACTTCGGGTGCTGCTGACGTCAACAGTTGAATTGTCAATTAGTAGKCTAGTAGTAGCTGTGTAGGGAGTAGGCTGGGCGCCGAGCGCCAAGTAGAGAGATAGAGACTGGATACATATGTTGGTGGTGGCGAGAGCAAGCTCTCATTGACATTGACTTCCAGTGCGACGATTCTCCATTGGGGTTATATTGGTGCAATGCTGCTTTCTGAACACTGTGTTACGATTTGGCTTTCAATGTGATTGTGCAATCTGAATATTGTCATCTCGCTTCTGTTCATTTTCCTTGCAATCTCCAGGGAAGGCATTTTAAGGTTTATTAAGCTCACGAGACCCTATGCTGGTTAAATACTCGGGCCCAAACATCTACTAAGTTGCAAGGATGGGTCAGAGTGATAGATCAATTTGACTTGAGCTGAAACCAGTCAAGGGGAAGTACAATGTCATCGCTGAAGAGTTGTCCAAAAGAGCAGATTTCTTTGAGATCAAGGGGAAGTATAATATCTTTGCTGATGCATTTGCAATCAGACTCGACTTTCAGCATGCATGCAAACAGATGATGACTCGACTTGCGCTTCCACACCCACACAAAACTCGGAGATAAGAACGTGGCCAGGAACACAGTTCAGATTCAAACTTGTCTTGAATGACTATGGCTCAGGGCGCCAGACAAAGATTCCCACCTGATCAACTGTATCCACCAGCAACTTATTCGCACACACACGTGCACACTCGGCTCACCCTGAATGTCCCACACAGTCACACACTCTGCACATACACACACTCTACACTATCCTACAAGGCAGCTATGGCTGCCCTCTCCCTCCTATGCTAGCTTGCGGCAATGGCCGCGTCTTCCTCCTCTTAGCCCCTTTCTTCCTCGGCCACCTGCAGACCTCCGTAGCACAAGACACGCCGACAGCGCTTCCGCACGGCTCACAGGCAGAATGAATCCATGAGTTGACGTTGCCTCTTTATTTATACTTCGGATTTGCTGACTGTGCCAGGACTGCCGCTCGCTGACTCAGCCGCGGACTGACCCTCGCTGACTCAGCCGCAGACTGACCCTAGGACCTATGAAGAGCCAGTTCTATAGCTTCTAGAAGGTCGTGGACTTGACCTTTCGGAACTGTAGCAGATACGACCTATGCTGACTCTACGACAACTAAAACTAAGATCTACGGGTCGAACCCCTGCGACCACACTATCTACAACAGCCGACCGTATGACTTTCGGAGAACAGGTCGCGGGTTCAAGCAGACAGGTCAACGGGTACTGTACATGGGTAAAGGGGGTAGGTCTAGGGATCGAGCCCTGGGTTCTGCATCTGTCACCCCTGTAGGTGAAAACCGTTTCAGTGTTCAAAACAGCACATTTCTTTGGGGTGATCACTACCTACGTAGATACTGGAAAAGACTTGCAGAAGAAGACTTGAGATGCTATGAACTACATATAATCTAGAGCAAAATGATAGCGGAAGTAAAGGAGAGGCCGCAGCAACGGACCGAGTATAGGATAGCGGCAGGATTGATGTTTCTCAGACCCAGTGCTGATAGTCGGTTGTGCATTCCCTCTAGAGAAGAAATCAAAAGTATCATCCTCAGGAAAGTCCATGATTCAGGGAGACACTTTGGTTGGAGGTAGACATCTGCTAGCTTGTTATGCTCCTACACATTGCTGCAAGATGTTAGATTGTATCACCTCTGTACAGGAGTGTAAAGTATCCATAGAAACAATCCTACCCAAGCTCCAATAGGATTGCTGAGACCCCTACCTATACCCTAGGACTCGGAGATTCGCTATCTATAGACTTCATGGACAGCAAGGTCAAAAGCACAAATGGGGATGGTCAAGCTATGGTCATAGTAAACCAGTTCAGCAAGTATGCCGAGTTTGTCCCCTTGCCAACAGAAGCAAAGCTAGATTTGTTAATCCATAAGTTTTCACGCACTGGGTCGAGGATCACAGCCACAATGTAGTGATAGAGATGTTAGATTTACAGGGGAACATTAGCAGCAATTAATGAACGTATATGGATCTCAGCTGCCCATGTTCTGTGCTAGACTGAGGCTAATGGACAGACTGAGTACATGAATAATCTGTTGCAGCAAACCCTTTGCATGTATATCAGACCGGATCAGATGGATTGGGACGAGCACTCCGCTAAAGTAGCCAGTGCACATAACAAAGTGCATTTAACAACTCAGTCCATATCACAACCCACCACCAAGATGCCTAATGAGCTGCATAAAGGGTGGAAGCCACAGAGGTCCATACATAGTCTGAATCCGGATCAGATTCAAAGACTACCACCATACACTCATGAGTCTTCAGAGTGAGAAGATCTGCAAAAGTCACCATGGCTCTGGTGGACCTCTTGTTGTGCTGACAGTAAGAGGGAACTTCAGATATTGATTCTGGCTCAACCATTCATTGCTATTATTATTATTTGGTGAAGAATAAGATTGGTGGAGATAAGGGAAGGGGGCTTCGTCATTGGTCGTGCTGGTGTACATCTTCTTCTTTTTCTTCTACTTCTTCTTCTTCTTCTTCTTCTTCTTTCTTCTTCTTTGGTCTCCGTCTCTCTGCAAGTGCTTTCATTTCTTTTATTTCTTTTGCAATTGGGTGGCATTGTCTTTCCTTGTGAATTTGCACTTAGGATAGCCAGGATTGTAACAAATCTCTTTCGGTAAAGACAGGACCTATGTTACCCCTGCTAGTTGATTGGTCGAGCCAGGAGGTGAAACAGAAAATCTTAAAACACCATACACGGCCTCAGCCTTGCAGCTGCCACAAGAAGTAAAAGGCAGGCTCGGGGCAGGCTCGGGGCGTCAGAAGGTTTTCGATTTTTTGGGCCCATGTCAAATCCGCACGTCGTAAAAAACAAAACAAGCTTTGGCCATAATCGCAGTTGGATACACTTTTTGGAGTACTCCGTGTGAGTCTGCCCTCAGTGAGGGCACTTTGGCAGAATGAAGAACACGGGGAGCACGACTGTCAGACAAAAAAAAAAAGAACCAAAAAAAAAAGCCAGCCAAGTCTTGGCCGTGAAAGTGGTTGGATTCATTTCAACGGCGCTAGTGTGAGTATGCCCTCAGCGAGGGCGTTTTCAGCACGAGGAAGAAAAGAACAAAAGGACAAAAAAAGAACAAAAGGAGTATGAGTATGCCCTCAGCGCTGCCTTGCTGGCAGCGAAAGGAAGAAAAGAACAAAAGGACAAAAAAAGAAAAAAACAGCAACGTTTCGCTCTCTCCGTAATAGTGGTCAGATGCACTCTGGAAAGTGATCACTTGAGTATGCCCTACATGACGTCCTTCCAATACATCATTGATCTCTGGCTTGTTTGTTCCTTTCTTTTCTTTTCTTTTTTTTCCCTTCAGGTAGACCGTCAGCACCGGTGCCACTTCCAAAATTCCCACTGCAAGTACCCTCACGCAGAAGGCTCGGAAAATAGCGGTGCACAGTGGGCAGCGAGGTTCGGGATTTTAGGTGCGGGTGTACTGGTGGTTTAAAACAGGAAAAGTCAGCAGTTGACACACTCTTCGTGGTCCACACATGTACAAGATAATTTGCGGATCCCGAAAACCAGGGAACAAAACAAAGCTTAGCAAAGCGCTAAAAGACAAAATAATGCGCCAAAGTTCAAACTTCAAAGAAATGAGGATCACGGAATTGCAAAGGATAGTAGAATTGGCATGAGATGAAGCAGCCAAGGGACAACTGGCCAGGATTTTTCTTTTTGGGGTGTGGGAAAAGAAAGAGGGGGCAAGGGGCATGGGGGGAGTTCATTTCGTGTGTGCAAAAATAGGACATTCAAATTTGCAAAAAAGAAACGCCGAAGCTGAGAAAATCAGTAGGCTCACCAAGCTAGTAGCCTCCTGATAGCCTTGCCAAAGATCGCTCAGCATCACTTCATCATCCCCAGAGCTGCCAAAAACATACAAAAGAAAATTCAGACACATTTATTTTGCATGGAAGAAATATGTAAGTTTTTCCAACTGGCTCCCGAAGCAAAACTCCAGAAATCAGGACAAGAGGTCAAGAAAAACGAGAGAGAAAACATGTAGGAAATCTGACAAGGGAGAAGTAACAAACCAGTTTATCTAAAAGAGACTGAGCGATTCCTAAAACGATGCCCTGTACCAAAGGAACCATGCACAATTTCTGGTAGCTGAGGGACCAGCCAGCTAACACAGAATTCCTCCCGATTAGAGTTCTAGTCTTGACCTTAGCCATGATTCTTTCCTCATACATTCAGAAACATTAACACCAATCACAATTGGAAAAATAGAAGGTTCTTTGTTTTTTCAACATTGTTGACAATCTGGCTGGGTCAATAACACCCGTGTGGGAAGAACAGATAGTGAATAACATTACCCATCTGTCTCCTCGCCCATGCTATCACGGACATGCGCAGGGTGCTTCTACTCTGTGTGTGTGTGTGTGTGTGTGTGTGTGTGTGTGTGTGTGTGTGTGTGTGTGTGTGTGTGTGTGATGTGTATCGAACAACATCATTGTGACGAGGCGGAGGCAGAGCAGCGAGGCTGGGAGAGAGCGAGAGTGAGAGCACACACACACACTCACTCAACTCGACGCAGACTCGACACGACTCGACGGACGCAGACACAAAGCGGCAAAGTCGCAATCTTGGATTCCGAACACAATGTCGCAGCAAGTCACACTGAAGCACAAGCACTGAGGCCGAAAACTGAGTGCCCAAACTTAGCTTGAGTCCGGTCTTAAGTACTGGACTCGAGTTGAGTCCCGAGGGCAGACGTGCGATTTGCCTCGGGGCTGAACTCAAAATCAAAGGTCCGAGTGTTACATACTGGATTCCACAGTCCGGCCTGAGTTAAAGGCCGACCTTAGACCTCCAGCAACCGGACTCAGACCCAGGTCTGCAACTGCAGGCCCTATGCTAGAAACAGGCTCAAACATTTTTCGTTTGAGCCTGGCGGCCGAAAGATTGAGGCTGCCACTTCCCCGCGGGTCTGATCTGAACCGTCAGATCGATCTACGGTCCACATCACAGCGCGGATTCTCAGCAGCCAGACCGAACAGGGCACCGTCGGTACTTAGTACCTGCCAGTGGTCTGTTCAGGACACTTCGAGGCCGCTGCATTGAGGAGCAGCAGCGCTGCGCTATTTTGGGTATAGAGCAGCTCCAGGCAGAGCGCTAGGTAAAGCGCTCCCTGCAGAGGCGAGAGCGAGAGAGAGAGTAGAGACTTACCTGCTACCTACCTGTGAGCGCCATAGCTCCATCGTCGAGGGCGAGTCTTCAGCAGCTCCAGGGCGGCACCTTGCGTCAGCAGGTTCGTGCCTGGACACTGGATCAGGGAGCATGGACCCTCCTCCTCCCACCTCTCCATCTCCACCTTCTCCTCTGCCCCTCTCAGTTCTTCTTCTTCTTCGTCTTCTTCTTCTAAACTTCTGCGTTCTGGACTACTATCTGGACAGAGATCAGAGGTGGACTATCGGTGACATAGGGACTCAGACTATTTCGGACTGAGACATTGAGGGGACTATGTTGGAAATCTGACACCAGTGGCATTACGAGATTCTGTATCATCGACATTTTGAGACTTTGTATCTTCGACATTTCGGGATTTCTATTTCGGTGATATTTGTGTTGGTGCCATCTCCTCTTCTTCTCTTCGTCTCTACCCCCCTACATTTCGTCCGTGAGTGTTTGTACAGGCCCTGGCGCCATCTTCTATGTTTGGAGCGGCAGGCCTTCTCACCCGATGAATGTATGGTGTGAGTCTGTAGATAGTCCAAGTCAGGTGCAAGTCAGATCCATGTTTATCAGTCTTCCGCTGCATTATATTACTCTCTGTTATTGGTCGGTTCTGGGTTCTGCATCATACTTGTGTTTGCTTCACTAGCATGCAACACTGAGCCTGGGCATCAGAATGCCGGATGGCGCCGAGTATCAAAATCCGAAAGTGCCAGAGGAGGAATTTGAGAACGGGTGCCAACTGCAAAAGGCGCCAACAGTCAGGAACCGGAGATCAGAAATTCAAAAAATAGCAGCCTGCCGGCTGGTAACCTGCAGACCAGGGATTGAGCCCTGGTTGAGTCCTTAACAATCATGGTCATACCTGGAACACTAGAACCGCTCCGTCTTGACCTGTGTGTGAAAGAGAGCTGCATCCTGCCTGCACGACAAAAAGAGCAAAAGGAACAGAAGGTCGCCCACCCTCGCTCTTGTCCACACTTCCCTCTCTCTCTGTGTGTGTGTGTGTGTGTGTGTGTGTGTGTGTGTGTGTGTGTGTGTGTGAGTGTGTGTGTGTGTGTGTGTGTCGCATACGGATATGGTACAGACCAGAACCAAGAACCGACCCCTCTCAGATAGAGCAAGATAGCACAGCGGAAGACTGGAACACCAATGATCAGACCCAATCAATGTCGAAATACAGACTGGACATACATCATCATCACACAGTGTGAATGGCCTGGCGCCACACACAGGGACGGAGGCGCCAGGCACAGCTCATACACAGATGAGGAGGAGCGGGAAGGGACGACGGAGAGGAGGGAAGAGATGAGAATGTCGTCAATCCAAATGTCGCTGATATCAATTCCAAATAACCCCCCTCAATGTCTCTGCCCGATGCCGAGTCTGAATCCCAGTGTCGCAAATCTCTCTCTCTCTCTCTCTCTCTCTCTCTCTCTCTCTGTGTGTGTGTGTGTGTGTGTGTGTGTGTGTGTGTGTGTGTGTGTGTGTGTGTGT